GCCGAACTAGCTCGGCTGTTTAGGAAGGGCCCTCCGTCTAGTGCCCGGAGAGGTTTAAAAGAAATGTTCTGAAGAGCTCACATTCTTTGTTGATTAGTCAACTTTCCTAGTCGTCACCGTTCTCCCTCCCCCAACCCAGTCTCCCTGCGAACACTCGCAGGTCTGGAGGTTGTGGACAAGTCCTGACCTGCTCTCGTCGCTCGCCCGGAAAATCTGCAGTTAGAATTTAGCTGTCCTGTGTATCAACCTGCGGAGAAATACAGAGCATGCCTTACTGATACATGTTCACTTAGAAAACTCCACATTTGACTTGTACACACTAGATTTTAGGTTTCCTGGAGTAGCGATTGCTGTTACGATAGGGATTTAAATAGGAAAGTTTTTCTTTTTCAGCTCTCTGCATTCTGCTGATGGTAAAATTTTTACGAACTGTGCACGAGCAGTTAAACCAATTATAACTTTGCTGCCCAATTCCTAAAGTATTTAAAGATTTGTATTAAAGTATTAAAGGTTTGAATATCCTACTAATGTGAAAACGAACTGATTGTTCTCAAAGTGTTTTTCGTAGTAAATGGGGTTGAGGCCAGGCTTTCTCCTTTCTGTAGTTTTCAGAGTAAACTTGATTCTTTGAAGGACTATTTGATTGCACTTAGAATCACTCTTACTGAAGTAGGTTTTTTTTTTTGGCAACCGTGTCGTGGAACTTTGAAAAACATCCTGTTGAGGGGAACCAGCTGTTAGCGTAATGGCTATGTCGCCGGACTCCCACGTAGTGGACCGCGGTTCGCGTCCAGGACCCATTGGCTTAAAACTCACGCCGGGCGCGTGTGCGTGCGTGCCCAAGATCCAGAGAGGAGAATGGAATGGAGAAGGGAGGAGAATGGAATGGAGAAGGGATTGCGGCGTGACCATCCGCCCTGGGGAGTGATTTCTCACTTTCTGTCTCTATGTCTCTGTCTGTCTGGGGAGCGCATGCGCCCTGTAGCGAAAACCTCTCCAAAAAAGAAAAGAAAAAAAAAGAAAAACATCCTGTTGTAGCCTTTGTTTTCTAGTCATAGTTTTCAACTGCAAACTTCTATTTACATTTATGATTACAATCCTGTGTGTAGAATTAACTAGTAAGTACCTTTTCCATAACAAAAATAACATACTTTAGACTTCCTTTCTTGCCAGCAGGCATGTACACTTGCCAGGGACACACAGAGAGGAGAAAGCATTGCCCGGTGGAGGGCGGTCATGCCACAATCCCTTCTCCATCTCAGTTCTTCTTTCAGGGATTTTGGGCATGCGTGCACATGCTGGGGAGGGAGTGGGGGTGTGGGAATGGATTTTTCAAGCCACAGGGTCTGGGATCCGAACCTCTGTTGGGCCTGGCCCTGTGGGATGCCTTAACTACCAGACCAGGGAGGCAGACCATATATTTTGGAATTTTTAAGTTTCATTCTTTCTAATGGTGTTAAATATTGATGAAAGATTCTAACGATTCTCCTGTACTCCCGTGGGGGATTTTCTCACATAGGAAATTTATTGGAATGTATTCTTCGGAATGGCTATAACAGTGTATTTGGGTTTCATGTACTTCTTAATGTCCCAGATAAACTTTTGGAAGATAAAAATTCCCTCTTCCTTAATGTGTATGGGCCAAGATTATAGCATTTTAGACACCAATTTATAAAAAATTTAAAAGGTAAATAAGTGGTGTGGGTGACACCTAGACAGAGTGTGAAGGATTTTGGAGACGGACTCTAGGAAGAGTGTAAGCTAGTAGACTGAGTGCTTTGCTTTTGATTCCTGCCAAGATTGCTGAAAACATTTTTCTGGAATAGTGATCTGTAAACAGTTGGTAGACTTTGTTTGAGGTAAAATAGGAATAATTGGAAACTCTTTGAATGCCAGACATTTTTCTCTCCAGGTGTTTGTGTGTAGTATGTGATTAGAGATAATTTTAAAGGTTTATATATATTTTTTTTTAATTTTTTTTTTTTTGAGAGATTTTCACTGTAGGGCGCATGCGCTCGCCAGACAGACAGAGAGAGACATAGAGACAGAAAGCGAGAAATCACCCCCCAGAGGGGATGGTCACGCCGCAATCCCTTCTCCTCCATTCTCCTCTCGGGATCTTGGGCACGCATGCACACGCGCCCGGCGTGAGTTTTAAGCCACCGGGTCCAGGACACGAACCGCGGTCGACTACGTGGGAGTCCAGCGACATAGCCACTACGCTAACTGCTGGTTCCCAGGTTTATATTTTTTTAACTAAAGATATTCAGAAGTTTCTGTAACTCTTGTCAACTATTGTCTATAACATTTTTAAGAGCACAAAACATTCATATTATAAAATGCAGTGTGTTTATAGTGCAGTAAGGCGTACCTGGAATTTTTATTGCTAATCTGCGTCATTTCCTTATATGCTTTGGCTTTATTTAGTAATTTTTTTTAGGTTGTCGGGAGAGTCATGATGTTATTTTTCTGTTTTTCTATGCAAAAATGTGTCATGACTTTCCTAAACAGCTCAATATTATGGGCATTTCCAAATATACACAAAAAGAGAACAGTAAAATTAATCAGTCTTCTTTTATTACCCCCTCCAACAATAATTTGTCTTTTCCCTTGGAGTTTTTAAAGCAAATCTCAGATATTAAGACATCCACTTATAACTATAGTAGTTCAGCATCTCTGATTAGGAATTTAAAAAAATGTAATCACCATAATATCACACAACGAACTGACCTTATTTGTAACTCTTTGAATTCTTATGGCTAAAATTTTCAAATTTTATCAACTGTATACATTAAGAGCTTAATTTGACTTCACATATTTAATGCACAACATTTTTTGTTACTATGATTATTTTGTATTAAGTTGATTAAGAAAAATAAGTCTCAGTAGCCATTGGAAAATTATCATAAAAACAGATCTGTTTTGAGTTTGAAGTTCCAAGAGGAAGAAGTAAAGATAACATTCAAATCTCCCCCTCCCATATTTATACTTTAGTGCCTTCTAGTATTATCTATCTTTTCTTTAGACATTAATGAATTCATAAGACAACAAAATTGGATTTTAGAATAAATCGTAGTTTTTGTTGATAGCACAATGTAAGTAAAGTCATTCCAGAGGTTTTAGAACTTGAGGGAATATAGTAGGAAACCTAGAAGAGGGCACGGTAGCCAGCATGTTATATAGGCATTTCAGACTTTGTTTCCTAGCCAAATGTGTCTGGCCCTTTAATTGTTGACTGTAAAATTTGTTTCTTATCCTTGGCTTGCCTCCTTACCCTGTTTCTGGGATGTACTTTAGAGAATTGGAAGCAGCATTTGCTCTGTTGAAGCTGCTTGCTGTATTTTCTGTCTAGTTGAGGTGAGGTTTTTTTCTTAGCATGTTAGTGAAGCTACACTTCCTAGGCATTACCACAAGGTGATGCAGTGACTTTGCACATTACTTCTCTGGGCCATGTGCATCCTTGGTAAGTTCCAACATTTCTGTATGCTTGCTCATCTAGTCACTCTTTTTATTTTTATTTTTAAAATTTTATTTTGTATGGGAAGAATAAACCAGAGTAGTTGTATGAGAAATAGAATATTTTTTTTTTACTTTTTAAAATGATTTAGTTAATAATGTAGCTATATTCAGATTGCACTCATCCATGTTAATTTTATTTTTTTTTGGAGAGATTTTCACTGTAAGGGCGCGTGCGCTCGCCAGACAGACAGAGACATAGAGACAGAAAGCGAGAAATCACCCCCCAGGGGGGATGGTCACGCCGCAATCCCTTCTCCTCCATTCTCCTCTCGGGATCTTGGGCATGCACGCACACGCGCCTGGCGTGAGTTTTAAGCCACCGGGTCCGGGACACGAACCGCGGTCGACTACGTGGGAGTCCAGCAACATAGCCATTACGCTAACTGCTGGTTCCCATCCATGTTAATTTTATGACTAGAAGCTATATTGTAATTTAGTAAGAAAAGTAAAAAAAATAAAGTGTAGTAAGAGTAGTGGAGTGAGTTTTATAATCTATTTCGGTAATTGTAATAGCGTTGAAATTTTTAAAAGGTTGAGTGTTGGAGAGAGGTAACTGAAGGCTACCAGAAGATGACCACAGATTTTATTCTCTTACTTTTATAAGCTTCATTAATACACTTAAAGAGACTTGTGTTTTCTATTAAAAACTTCACTTTCAGGAGAAGAGTTTAAAATGAAATTTTGTGTTATTATGACAAATTATTTATGTATCCGTACTCTTAAAGAATTTGAAACAATAAATTGAGTTTAAAATTTTAAAGTCCTCTTAAGTCCACTTTTCACATACATATCTCGTAAGTAAAGACTATTAACTGGTGTATACTTTTTGAGTCTCTTGTACATTAATAAACACATACATGCGT